AATTTAGCCCACAACGTGCATGAGCTTGGAAGCAGATTCTTCCCCACAGCCTCCAGAGGGAAATGCAGCCCTCTCAACATCTTTATTTCAGCCTTGTAAGACCCTGAGCTGAGGACCCAGTCACAGTGTGCCTGAACTTCTGACCCATGGAACTATGAGCTAATAAATGGCTGCTACTGCTAAGTTTATGGTAATTTGTTAAGCTGCAATAGAGAATGAATTCAATAATGTTGTTGACTCATCAGGCTTTATTTATCTCTAAATTAGTTTTCTGCTTTGATCTCCTTTGCCATCTCCTACTCCACAGGGAATTCAAGCAAGGGAACCCTAGAATAGCAGAGAGAAATTTAACACACTAAATAGAAGTCACAGTGCTAATTATTTGTGCCTTTTGGAGAACAGAATTGTTGCTTTCAGGAAATGACCCATGAAAAAATGTCCACAGCCATAGGAAGTCCTCAAGCTGTCACGAAGTCTGAGAGTAGGAATAGGGCCTTTCTAACTGGCTCTTCAACACCTGTGATATTTCCATTAGTGAAAAGGTTCAAGATAAGCCCAGGGAATCCCTATCACTCTTCCTGAGCACTATACCTCTTCGGGGAGCCACCCTACAGAGACTGGTGGAGTTTAAGCCTCATGGATTTACTCGCTTTAAGAATGAATCACTGGGGTGGGATAGGGAGGGTGGGAGGGAGGGAGACGCAAGAGGGAAGAGACATGGGAACATATGTATATGTATAACTGATTCACTTTGTTATAAAGCAGAAACTAACACACCATTGTAAAGCAATTATACTCCAATAAAGATGTTAAAAAAAAAAAGAATGAATCACTGAGAATCTGGGATATAACACATGGCTCACTCACTTGGGTTTCTAAAAGAATATTCTACAAGTAATTGAGAAGAAAAATAAGTATGGTTTCATGGCATGTGACCATGGAAGGGAAGGTAACCAGAGGATGGCAAAACTCTGAAAAATGTAATTCACATTGGCCAGTTATACATTTTCTCAGTAAGGAATTAATGTGGGAAGTCCCTAAAGAAGCATGTGGTTATACCATGATTGGATTGACTCATGTTCACAGAGTACATATATAACGTAGAAAAAAAGACATATAACCAGGAACTGTTCTACCAGCAAGAATTGTGCCTGGAGCTACAACCCAAGTCATGTTATACAGAATGAATAAAGATGATTTCCCAGTACATACCTCGAGAGTAAGGAATAGTTGGGCTTCCTGCTAAGGGTGAAAGATGTCCTCTTTGATATTTGAAAACTAGAGAAGAGCTAACTGCTCTCCATACATTAAAGTCTTCTGCCATGGATGAAGCACTAAATTCTAGCAGGCTCATACAATTTGCAAATGAGATGGATAAACCACTGCAAGTGATCTTTGAGGAATCTTGACGAAGAAGTGAAAAGTGGGAAGACAGAGGATGAGCAAAGGGCATGGAACTTTGTGAAAGGGAGGTAGATTTTGCAAAGTGTGCATGATGATAACTTGAAGTCAAGGCCAGGCACGGTCTTTAAGAGATGGCTCTGTGTCCACCTGGGAGAAGAAGCCGTAGTTCCCAGCAGTCAGTATGGGAGCTATGAGCAGATTGGATGAAACTGCTCTTCTTTCTTCTGGCACAGAGTCACTAAATGGTCAGGGAACTGTGGCAAGCACAATGGATTTTGACTTCAGCCAATACTCAACAATGCCCGGTGGACAGTGTGGGGAAATGAGGGCTGGGTGTGAGCTTACTGTGAGCAGTAAGCTCACAGTACTGTGAGCTTACTGTGCTGTTTTAATATCTAGTAATTCAAGTCACTCCTTTAATTTTTTTTCTTTATTAATTTCTAATTTAACCAGAACTCCTCCTCCCGTTTTATAATATGGCTTCTTAAAAATGTCAAGGCTTTTTTCTTCTGAATACCAAAAGTAGCCAAACAATACATGCCATGTTTTTCTAGAAAGTCTCTCTCTTTTTTTTTTAAAGAATCAATTTTATTTATTTTTGGTTGCGTTGGGTCTTCGTTGCTGCACACGGGCTTTCTGTAGTTGTGGCGAGTGGGGGCTACTCTTTGTTGCAGCACGCAGGCTTCTCACTGTGGTGGCTTCTCTTGTTGCGGAGCACGGGCTCTAGGCGCGCGGGCTTCAGTAGTTGTTGCACACAAGCTCAGTAGTTGTGGCTCACGGGCTCTAGAGGGCAGGCTCAGTAGTTGTGGCACACGGGCTTAGTTGCTTCGTGGCATGTGGGATCTTCCCGGACCAGGGATCGAACCCGTGTCCCTTGCATTGGCAGGCGGATTCTTAACCACTGAGCCACCAGGGAAGTCCCTCTAGAAAGTCTCTTGACAACATTTTCTGAGGTAATGATTTGCCAGGCTCTTTAGCAAGAGATACGTTCCATGGCTGCTTTTGCTGGTGCCAGCTCTCCTGTAGAGTCTCCAGTAGAATCAAATTGCTCTCAACCTGGTTGTAGAGATCTGAGCAGTGCCGATCAGTAGAGCTCTCTGCAGTGATGGAAAGATTTTAAAGCTGTGTTGTCCAGTATGGTAGCCACTCACCACTTGTGGCTACTGGGCACTTGAAATATGCACTTAAAATAGTATGACTGAGAAACTGAATTTTAAATCTAATTTAATTTAAAGTAATTTAGATTTAGATAGCCACATTGTGGCTAGCGGCTACTGTATTAGACAGCACAGAATCGATGATGAAAAAGTTAAGTAGCTTGAATGGTTCTCAAATGTGCTACATTTACTGCCAGGGAAATAAGTCATCTATATTTTGAGGGTCTCAAGTCCAGGGGCTATTTTTCCTCTTAAGCCCCTCTCCCCTTACGGTAACAGATGTTTGCTTTTGCTGTTTTCAGCTCTTCAGTGGCAGTGTTGGATTACCCAGGGGGAGCAGTAAGCATATGCCTGGTGCATTGGTAAAAGGAGGGTACAGACACATGAAATACAGTTGGCCCTCCATATCCGCGGGTTCCACATTCATGGATTCAACCAACCGTGGATTGAAAATATTCAGAAAAAATAATTCCAAAAAGTTCCAAAAAGCAAAATTTGAATTTGCTGCACACTGGCAACTATTTACCTAGCATTTATTGAATATGTTGTATTTACAGCTATATACATAGCATTTATGTTGTATTAGGTATTATAAATAATCTAGAGATGATTTAAAGTATACAGTAGGTTATAAGCAAATACGACACCTTTTTATATCAGGGACTCGAGCATCTGAGGATTTTGGTATCCAAGGGGGGCCCTGGAACCAGTCCCCCATGGATACTGAGGGATGACTGTAATTTGATATTCCAACCATGACAACTGCAACAAATCATCTGGAAAAATTTGGAATTGATTGCACTCCCTTAAACTTATTCCATGACTTGGTGGTATTTTTATTTTTAATTCTATACATGCGAAGTCAGCCCCCCAAGATCTTCTCAATGTCTGGTGGCACCATTGTACAGATTTTTGTTCTTCCAAAGAGGAATTTGAGCAACCACAGCCCAAGGCCCCATAATCATCAGCCTGTGGAGGAAAGATCTGGGCCAGCACCGCTGACTTCTGGGGGAGAACATGACCCACTCTGCTGCAGAAAGAGCTGGATTCAGATCTGCACTAGGAAAGCATGGTGCTGTGGTCAAAAGCAGACTCTGAAGCCAGGCAGCTTGGGTTTGCATCCTGGCTCTGTCATTTACTAGCTGGGTGACCTTGGGCAAGTTTCTTAACCACTCCATGTCTGGATTCGTCATCTATAAAATGCAAATAATAACAGTACCCAGTGTAATAATCCCTGGTGCTATTATTATGGTACCCAGTGGGCGGTTAGGAGAGGTTTTAGAACAGTGTCTGGCACATAGTAAGTGGTAAGTAAGTGTTTGCAAGTTAAAATGAGATCTTTAGTTTAGAACATGATGCCCTGACTTAGTCACTTGGCCCAAATGTACAACTCAAATGTGCGCGTTTTTCAGTTGACAGCCAGGGATCTCCCTGGAGTTGACATGCGATGCACCTCTGAATAGAACATACGAATGTCTTTCAAAGAGCTTTTACATCAATTTTCTTATTTTATCTTCATGGCAACCTGCTGAACAGAGCAGGGAGGTACTACCCTTGCTTCCTGTAGAGGAAATGACAGATGGCTCTACCCAACAGAGAGGATTTGTTTGCTATGTTTGTTTTTCTTTTAAAGGTTTATTTATTTTATTAATATTTTTATTATTATTTTTTTGGCTGCATCGGGTCTTAGTTGCAGCACGCGAGATCTTTGTTGAGGCATGAGGGATCTTTCGTCGTGGCATGCGGGCTCTTCATTGTGGTGCTCAGGCTTCTCTCTATTTGTGGCAGCAGGTTTTCTCTTTTCTAGCTGTGGCGCGCAGGCTCCAGAGCACATGGGCTCTGTAGTTTGCGGCATGCAGGCTCTAGTGGAGGCGAGCAACCTTAGTAGTTGTGGCGCGCGGACTTAGTTGCCCCGCAGCATGTGGGGTCTTAGTTCCCTGACCAGGGATCAAACCCGCGTCCCCCAGTGGCAGATTCTTTACCACTGGAGCACCAGGGAAGTCCCTGTTTGCTATATTTGATCACTGGAGCTACCATTTTTGGAGCAAAAGTCCAAATGACGTCAGAATGACATCTTCCTCGACGCAAAGGAAAACTGCCGGTAAAAATCGATCAAGTGTAATTGACTTGAGAGAAGACCAACACACACAACACAGGGTGCTGTACGTGTGTGCCCAAAAAATCAACTTTTATCCCTTGTAACTTGAATGTGGCCCAGTTTTACGCTTCCTTTTCAAAAATGTCGTGGAACGGTTTTTCCTGATGCCCTGGTCTCAGGGCCAACTGAGGGGGCACAGAAGAACTCTGGGCATTCTTGGGATGGTTTGTTAAATGGGGCCAACCTCTGGTTAAAAGAGAGCGAGGTCAGGTGGGTGTGCACCTCTGTGGAGGGCCGTGATTCTGTGCTCTGTGGGTTCAGCGTGTGGTTTTGTCCCGCAGATTCATCGCTCACGCTGCAGCAGATGGTAGGCGTTGGGCTAGGCTCCCTGGCTGTTGTGATTGTCCTCGCATTCCTCTCCTTCTCAGCAGTGTGGTATGTGCGACTGTCACTTTTGAGGAATGAGTGGAATGGAGGGAGGGTGGGGCTGGAGTCAGGAAGAACAGCTGGGATCGAGGAGGGTCAGAGGGGGAGTGCGGGAGGTTGTCCCAGGCTCAGCAGGTGAAAGGCACGGGTAACTCTGCACCTCAGGAGGGAGGGGCATGCCCTCCAGTCCCAGGAAGAGAGCAGGGTCAGTGATGGCGCCCTGACCACTCACGGAGCGGTGGCTCATCTCCTGTACCACTTCCCATGCACGCAGGGGTGCACCGCAGGAGAACCTAAGTGTCAGTGAACTCTCTTTTCCTCCGCCATGTCTAGATTGCCAATGCTGCGTGAAGAGGATGCGCTGCTGCTGGGGCAGATGTTATGACAGCTTCTCAGGTGTCTGCACAGAGGCCCTGTGTGTGCATGGGCCTGCAATCCCATTCCTGGATTCAAGACGGTGACTATCTCTTTGGAATCCCCCAAAAGGAGGACACTCGGGAATTGTTGATGTCTTCCCTGCTACACGACTAGTTCTGTGTCTCTGAACTTGAGAACCTTGATGTACAATGTAATATTGACCACAGGCTACAGGTCACACGGACTGGCCTGTGTTCTCCTCTGAGTGATGCCTGAGAGTCAGCTCCTCTAGGCACTGAATGCAAGAGACTGTCTGCCTCTTCCTTTGTAGCATCTCTGTCATTAATTCAGAATCCATTCTTTTACAATAAGTAATGAGATAGACTGAAGTGTGGGCTAGAATTTGACTTTATGAAGGAGGTCATTGCAAAGGCTAGAGATCATTGACATAGGCAAATACGGTAAACACTTCAGAAGCCCTTTTCCGACAGTTGGTTGACACACTAATTAGAAAGTATGCTAGCCTGGCCACTCCAGTAAGTTCCCTGCAATATCTGTTAGGCAGTGTTGCTTTGATACAGTTCCTTTTGTCTTATATGTATTCAAAAGCCATAAGCCTTCATTCCAGTAAAAATATTCTGTTAAGTTAGACAGTTCTCTTCCACATGAATGTTTAGAACAGCCTTGGCAATTTTTTTTTTCACTGAACGTTTCCTAAAAATGCTCCATGCCTCCTTTTAGACTTGGGGGTGGAGTGGTAACAATGGGTTGCAACATTATGAAGCCCACGGCCAGAGTCCTGTGTTTATAGGGGAGGGGAACAATGCAGGCGACACGATCGTCCCTTTTATCTACAACGTCAGTAGCTATGAGTGTTACTTTATCATGAACCATGTCCCGGAACTACTGTCAATATGCTGAATTTACAGGTGGAGTGGATTCGATTTGACTTTTAAAGCCTGAATCAGTGTTCTTGAACTTTCCTCCCTAACCAACAATGTAACTCCAAGGCTCAGCAAGGAATGAAGGGAGAAGAAGGATGGAGGCTTGTGGCTTCTCTAAGTGATGGTGGTGTCCTCCTATGCCTTCTCCCTCCCTCTCCAGGCCTAGAGACTAGAAATCATGGGGAGGGGTGGGGGGGACAGTGATATTGCCCAACTCGGGGTGAAGCATATATGAACGTGGTCCTAGTATTGGGCAACACCACAGTCCTGAGGAAAAGGGGCAGCCTTTCCCACATGGTGGGCTGGTGTGTTCTCCACCGGCTCACTGGGCACCAGTGAGGGACACATCTGAGCAGCCTGGGCTTGTAGGTGGATGAGGAGACATGAGCAATGATAGGAACAGGTGGCAACTCTCTATGAAGCTGCTTCCCCAGGGGGATCTGACCCAAAGCATATCCTCTCAACTGGGAAGAGTCAGAGAGAGGGAAGTGATACCCTGATGCTTGAGTTTTCAAGGCCAGCTGTCAGCCCTGGCCCCAGCCAGTACTGGGCAGTATTAGGAATAATTGTCCTTTGTCCTCTGAGGTGTCGTCTCAGACTACAACTTAGGATCAACATGTAGAACACTTCCTGCTCTCATTCAGGTGAACTGTAGAGTAGAACTCTCAATAGACTAATACAAATAGCTTCTGACTTTTATTTTTTATGTGCGACAATTCAAACTCATACAGTTTTCACAGCTCTTGAATTAAATTTGGAATCTTTACAAATTATTTGGTTAGTATTAGGTAGGGTCTCTGATGAGTAAGGATTTTCCTCCAAGCCTCCTCTAACCAAAGAGAGAATCTGAGTTTCTCCCCCTTATTACTATTTTTTACCAGCTCTGTAAATACCATATGTTTCTGTAGTCCCCCTAATTTCAAGTTCTAGAATTAACTGTCAAAGAAGCTACCTTTGTCTACATGGGAACTTAGCATAATTGTCATCGAAAGGAAGAAGTCCTATTTGCTTGGTGTCAAAAGTTTCTCGTTAAGAAAACTGACTAAATATGAAGTAAAATGTACTTCTGGGTACAGTGCAGAAATGTAAAAGCAGTTCATGAAAGAATACTGAAATAACAAAAACATAGATTTTGTCCCTTCCTCTAAATGTTCCAAACGATAGCACAGAGTTGCTCAGTGTTAATACTTAACAGAAGTAGGTGCTGAGCATTTGCAAGAAGGATGCGCCATTTTCCTGCAGTTCTTTTCTGATCATTTTCTCATGCACATGAAGGCAGCCTTAGGTTCTCTGAATTCGCCTGGTAGCTTAACCACAATACGGTCCCTTTTTTTCCCAAGTGGATTCCTGGTTAAGGCGGGGAGAGCATCTCAGGAGACTGATAGTGGGTCTTCCTAGAAGCATGCAGGGTCCTTCTGTTGAAGGACTGATCAGGTAGCATTCAGAGTTGGGTTATGAGTGCCACTAAATAAAGCTGGATCCTCAGATAGTGATGGAAGAAGGATCTTTTCCTTAGTAACTGTCTTGGGGACAGTGTGTAGAGGTGAGTGCCAGGATCCAGTCTTGAGCTCCCTTCTAGACTAGGAATCAAAACGGAGGGTTGCCCAGATATGGAGCAGAGTGTTCCCTGGCTGAATTTTTTTTTTTTTTTTTTGGTGCCCATAGTTTTTATTTATCTCCACCATAGTTTTTGTTTATACATGTTCTTTCATTCCATCCTCACAGCAGTTCTGTGTGGTGGGAAGGTTAGGAGTTATCATTTTCCCATTTTAGAGTGGAGAGATGGGTTCAGACAGAGATGTAACTTCAATTGTGGGGCCAGATATTCTGCCTGCAAGTCCAGTTCTCATTCCTGGGACTTGACAGGACATTTGGGTTCCTGGGAGAGCTAGGCCTTTATATTTCTGAACTATATATATATATATATAGGCATTGCTTTTACTATTATAGCACCTGTGTCTTTTTATACTCATCTTTTCACTGTGATATACCTTCTCCCATCACTTCTAGAAGGAGCCACAAGCAACCAAAATAGATGGAGGTTAACTAGGGGAAATAGGTAATAGTCCATCCATGACCCCAGACCTAAAATTGCAGCTGGGCCCTTAAGATTAAGACCAGAACAAAAGTCATTACCTTGAAATTCCATAGTGGATTGGAATAAAGTTAGTATTTAAATTGATCTTAAAGGAGGTAAAAAAGAATTCTCAAGGCTCCCTTTTTTGGCTAATCTCATATCCCGATTTCCTAACCCTTTAATTTTTCCATTCCCTTCATCAGAGAGAAAACCAGTGGGTAGTAGACGTCAATCAAATGGTGTTTTAAGGACCATTTGCCTCCCACAGCCATCGTTGGTTAAACTCAAGTGCCTGATTTTGGAGAGGAAAGTGCGTGTGGATTTTTCTGTGTCCGTTTGTGGGCAGGTGATGCAGTGGGGCAGGTCAGTTTAAAAAAGTGTACGTCCATTGTTTCAGAAAGAGAGAGAATGACTGAGTCATTCTGGTGCCGTGTGTGTGTATCCATACCCATACTTTTTGGGCATAACTCAAGGTTACCAAAATGGGGTCAAACTAGGCATGTGGTTTGTAACATGCATTGGACACATTTTTCATGTCAATCATGATGGCATTAAAAGTTGGTACCATAATTTATTTAACTAATACTCTGTTGAGTATTGTGCATTTAGAGTATTTCCAGATGTTTACTATTCTTACATATGTCTGTATAATTGTATGCAGTTATCACTTACGCTAAATTCCTAGACTTGAAGTTGTTGGAATGAAAACGATATACATTGTAGATTTACTACATATTGTCAGAGGAATCTCAGAAAGTTTATACCAGTTTATGTTCTCACCAGCAGGAAGCCTCAACATACCTGGGCATCGTTGATATTCTTAATCTTGATTAATCTGGTAGGTGAAAAATGACCTTTCAATGTTTTGTTTGCATTTCTCTGACTAATTTGCATGTTGACTGGTCATTTGTAATTCTGTTGTGGTGACATGCTTTTTTTCTCAGTAGTTGGCTTGTCTTATATTGATTTGAAAAAGTTCTTTGTATTATAGTAATTTTCACTTTTAGCTGTCACACGTGTTGTAAACAAATTTTCTACTTTATTATTTCCCTTTTGACCTGTTTGTGTCATGCACTGCCACACAAAAACTTTAAATTTGTGTAGTCAAATGTATCAGTCTTTTTCATTATGTATTTTGCCTTTGGTACCATGCTTAGAAGGACTTTCCAATCTCAAGGTAATAACTATAATTCAGCAGTTAAAAAAAATTTAAATCTTTAATCCATCTGAAACATTTTAGTATAAGGAATGAGGTCGGGAGGGGTCTTTTTTTATTCTTGCTAAATGGTTTAGCCAGTTCTATGAATATTCCTTGACTGTTATTTTTTTCCCCTCGTGATTTGACTCGTATACTGAATCATATACTAGAGTCTATTTCTGAACTTTCTCTTTTGTTCTGCTGATTTATTTCTGTGCCAGTACCACCTGCTATAAGTTTAAAATAGGGGGTTTTTTTTAGTACCAACTAAAAGTAAGTTACCACCCTTTTCCTGTTAATTCTCAGAGTATTCTCAGGTTTTATTATATATTTATTCATGTATACATATTTATTATACGTAAACTAAAGAATTATTTGGTCAAGTTCCCCCCAAAATCTTCATATTTTTCTTGGGGATGTATTAAATAAAGAGTGCTCTTATCCCAGAACACAATATGTGTCTCCATTTAATGTTGGTGTGTGTTCCTGTCTAGCGTGTTCTAATTTTCAACTTACAAGGTTATTCATTCTTATTCTTGGTTGTGTGTGTCTAGATATTTTACATCTCGTTATCCTGAACTCTTACATCACTACCTCTGATCCTGCCCCTGAAAGTGCATCCCACAGTCCCTTACTGCTGGCGTTGTTAGCGTTCTCTTGCCCTGGCAATCTGCCTTTTTTGGGAAAAGTCACATCAAGATGGCTCCTCCAGCTCAGTTACTTTCCTGGGTATCTACTTGACTCACGGAAACTCACAGACCCTTGCCATGCAAATGAGGGATTGCCCCACCATCACAGATCCCTCCAGCCACAGACTTTAGTTTTCTTACCCATTAGACCTTTTGGCCTCCATCAGTGGAAGTGTAGCTTCTACTACATTCCAATGTGGTTCCCACTTTTTTGTCCTGATGCTGGCCTGACAGTCTCAGCTTCTTGACCCCTGGGTTTCTTATCCTTGGAGTCAGGTACCAGGCCTCTGTGTCCTCTGAAGTTTTAGGGGACACAAAGTCTCTGAGTGGACGTCCCCTTGAAGCTCCTCTTTCCTGACTTGCACTGAGGAAGGTCCCCTTACCTCCTACCATCATGGTGGGGGATAGAAAATGCAGGGAATGACAACAGCTTTCCCTAAAGAACTACTTTCTTTTGACCTTTTCAGTTTTAAACCCCTTTATATCTTGGGTATTGGGCTAAGGATCACAAGACCATTTGGAAATCCTTATTTTAGAATATGGGAGTGTTTGCAACCTATTATTTTCAATTATTTGGAGCTTTAGTTGAAACAAAAAGGGTCCAATTTGAGGCCAAATGATAGGAAAATACAGTTCACAGAAAAAGAAATGCAAATGGCTCCCAAACGTAAGAAAAGATGCTCAACCTTACTTTTAAGAAAAGTGCAAGTTAGTGAGGTATCATTTCTCACCCGTCAATGAGAAAGCCAGAGATTTAACAACACAGTCTCTTTTGAGGCTCTGGGGAAATAGGAACTCAGACGTTGTTAGTGAGAGTACAGAACGGTACAACCTTTATGGAAGGAAATCTGGCAATATTTACATTGCTGTTGTCTTTAACCCAGCAATCCACCTCTGGGACCTATCCTATGGATTCACCTGCACATGTTCCAAATGACACATGAACAGGGTTATTCATTATGACGTGGCTTATGATAACAAAAGCTTAGAAACAACCCAAATGCCTCTCAGGAGGAAAGTAGTTACATGAACTATGATACTTCTGTGTACACAATGGAATACCCTGAGTTGTAAAAAAGGAATGAGGAAGGACTCTATGCATTGAAATGGGGAGATCTTTAAGCTGTATTGTTTTAATGAGGAAAACAAGATGGAGAATAGTGTATATCATACGCTATCTTTTGTGTAAGAAAGAGAGGGAATGAGAATATTTATTCAATTTTAAATAAAGAAACACAGGAATGATAGCAATGAGTTGATGTAAATGGTTACAAATGGAGCAAGGAAGAATGGGGTGGAGGTGGACAGGGTGAGAGTGAGCCTTTTAAGTGTTTATCTTATTTTGTTTTATTTTTAAACATGTAAGTATATTACTATTCAAAAACATAAAAATAAAATTTCATAAGGAAAAGAAAGTGTTCCATTTAATATCCTATTTCACATGTGTCAAATAAAAATATGATGGGTACTGCTTAGTTTCCTTCTAAACCCAAGACACTTAGATTTGGATAAGTTTGGTTTAATTTTCCATCACAAAATTGGTGGGGCATCCAGTGCTGTCTTTTAAGATTTCTGAAAATTCCATGAGGGGGTAAAGGTGGATGTGTTACATTCCCATGATCAACTCTAGGGCCTACTTTCTGCTTCCTATGAATTAATTTAGTGGATGGATCATCTCATCCTCCTACGTGGGGTCCCTGTTCCCGCCTGCATCGACTCACCTGTGGAACTCAGCTCCTTTTCATGATTTCCACCCAAAGTTTCACTAAGGACTTGGGGCATTTAGATAACGTGAATGGAGAGTTTATTAGTTTCCTACTGATGCTGTAACAAGTTGCCACACACTTGGTAGCTTTCAACCACACAAATTTATCATTTTACAGTTCTGGAAGTCAGAAGTCTGCCGTGAGTCTCACTGGGCTAAAGTCAAAGTGTTGGCTGAGTTGTGTTCCTTCTGGAAGCTCGAGGGAGAATCCATTTGTTTGCCGTTTCTAGCTTTTAGAGGCTGCCTATATTCCTTGACTGTGGCCTTTCCTCCATCTTCAAAGCCAACAGTGTGGCATCTTTGAATCTCTCTCTGACTCTGACTCTCCTGTCCACCCCTGCCCCCACTTCATTTATAGGAGATTACAGTGGGCCTCCTTGGATAATCCAGGATAATCTCCCATCTCAAGATCCTTAACTTAATCACATCTACAAAGTTCCTTTTACCATGGAAGATAACTTATCCACAGGCTCTGGGATTAATACGTGGACATTTTTGGTGGCCATTTTTCTGCCTATAACGAGAGAGTATTATATTTTAGATATGCAAATAATTAAAAGTGGATGTTAGTTATCTTTGTTCTTCGAAGTTTCCTTCCTTTCCCATCCCTTCCCATCTTCATTCTTTATCAAATCCCCTAAATTCCTGAAATGCAGAACAACTCATCTACGTCTTTCTTTTTTTTTAACCAAAGTAATTTTTTAAACAAGAGTAGTTTCCTCCTTAAAAATTCTGTTGCCAGCTGTTAACTTAAACTTTATATTTTTAAAAAACTTCTGAAAATTTCCCAAAGTTTCTGAATGTTGAATGTATTCTTCCTTGTTTCACAGTGCTGATTCAGATTTCTTACAATTTTTTTGTGAATCTTTGGTAATGTGATTTTGGGGGACAACTAGAAACTAGAAGATGAAGTATTTGAGAGAGAATTATAGCAAAGGCTATATATGCTTTTTTTTATTTTTTTATTGCTGTGTAACAACTTACCACAAACGTAATGGCTTAAACTAGTACACATTTATTATCCTCCAGTTTTTATGGGTCAGGAACCCAGGTTTGGTTAGTTGGTTTCTCTGCTCAGGGTATCACAAGTCTGCAAGGAAGGTGTTGGCTAGGTTGCATTTTCATCAAGAAGCTCGACTGGGGAAGATTCCCCTTCCATGCTTATTCATATTGTTGACAGAATCCATTTCCTTGTGGTCGTATGGCTGAAGGTCCCAACTTTTTGCTGGCTGTCAGCTGGAAGCTGTCCTCAGGTCCTAGATGCCAGTCATAGCTCCTAGAGGGCCATTTGTAGTTGTTTGCCAGGTGGGCTTCCTACACAGACGGCCCAACTCATCAAGTCAGCAAGGACAATCTCTGAATACAGGGAGGGCCCAGTTCCTCTTTTTTTTAATTTTTTTTGCCGTACGCGGGCCTCTCACCTCTGTGGCCTCTCCCGTTGCAGAGCACAGGCTCCGGACGCGCAGGCTTAGTGGCCATGGCTCACAGGCCCAGCCGCTCCGCGGCATGTGGGATCTTCCCGGACCGGGGCACGAACCCGTGCCCCCTGCATTGGCAGGCGGACTCAACCACTGCACCACCAGGGAAGCCCCCAGTTCCTCTTTTAAAGGGCTTTCATCTAAGTCAGGCGCGCATAGGATAATCTACCTTTAACTAACAAAAAATAAACTAATTTGCAACCTTAATTACATCTGCAAAAGCCCTTCACTTTTTCCATATTCTGTTGGTTAGAACTAAGTCACACTCAAGGGGAAAAAATTATACAGGCTGTGGACACCAAGTGGCAGAGATTATGAGGGTCATCTCATAGAATTTTGCCTACCGTAAGTTACTAAAGAAAAAATCAATTATAGACTTTAAATTCTACCACAATTTTTCCTAGGTTCTTCTGACAGGGCTACTTAACTTTATAGCAAAAGCCTAGGAATACTTCTATTTTCTCTATGGAGAGGTACCAAGGCTGCCAGGGGTGGAAGTGACCAATGGCCAGAGGTTTCAGGAAGGTAACCGCGTCTGGAAGACTGCCGTCTCCCCTTGGACTGGATGCGTTCCCTTGAGTGAGGCACAGAGATTTGGGGAAGGAAAAGAACACCATTTCCCTGGGTCCATGGGCATGTGTCCCATCTCCTAGCCTTTGGGTTAGCAGGATTCAGGATTTGTGAACTTGGCCTGCAAAAGTCTATTCCCGCCGAACTCTAGTGAGCCTAGTGTATGGCCTGTAGGGTGAGTTGTCCTATGGTCCCTATAAAGGGCCATCCTGAGTCTTGGTGGGCTGGGCTGGGCAGGGTAAGGCAATATTGACCAGGTTCAAGGCTTCCAGAGGGTGGTGAGAGCTCCAGGGACCAGCGCTGGAGAGCACAAAGGTCCTTCCCAGTCCCGAGACCCTCCATAACCAAGGACTTGGCAGTAGCTGTGTGCAGCCGAGAATGGCTGAGACTGAGCGTAAAGCGCGTACGGTTCTTGCCACAAGTTGTGATTCCTTCTGTCCAAGGCGCCTTCCAGTGAAGAGTGAACCTTAGAACCTGAAAGAGGGCTCAGCTCCAAGAACCAGAGGGAACTTGGGTTGTCTTGGGATGATCACTGTGAATTGAGATCTCACAGGGATGGACACCAGATGATGCAGACACTGATGTTTTGCTGTGCTGGGATGGTCAGGGACAACCATGAGGGGCAAAGAGGGGCAGAGCCCAGGAAAGGGGAATCATTAGCACAAGACCTAGGAAGGGGCAGCAGATGGGCAGCGCATCTCTTGCACCGAACAAGGAAGACAGTGTCTTGGTCCTGGTCGGAGAGTATAAATGTCCATACTGCGTGTGGCCCTGTGAGGGAGGTGGTGCACGGGGCTGCCAGACTCAAGGACTCCAGCCTGTCTGCAGCTTGCTGCCAAGGGCACAAAACAGCTGAGTCTGACTTGACTGCCTGTGGTCAGCATTCATGAGCATTTTTACTGGATTTCTTGTAGAAAATTAACACATAGCTCTCTGGTCTGGATTTGTG